GGCTCGTCTGCGGAGCTCCGTCTGGTCGGGCGTGTTGGCTGCTGTTGCACCTCAGGGGTCAGTCTCTGTGTTTCTGTCTCCCGTGCGCTTCGCCCCAGGAGGAGCGGCGCAGGGCTGGGGTCAGCGGCGGCCGCAGGAAGGTGCGTTCGTCCGACCTCCCCCTCACCCTGTCCTGATCTCCTCCTCCTCCTCCTCCTCTCTGTGCCCTTCCTCTCCTGTGGCTCGGTGTGGGGTGGAGTGTGCGTGTGTGTCGCTTGCTTGCCTCCTGGGCTCTGATCTCTGACCTGCTGGGCTCCAGGACTCCTGTGTCCGAGGCCTCTGCCCACCTTTTCCGTGCTCCTACAGGGAGCCTCAGACACCTGGTATAGCAGGAAACCCTGCGCTGGACAGGAGCTGAGTTACTGGTCCTCCGGCGTTCTCGGGATCGTTAAGTCCTGGTATTTGAGCTCCTGATTTGTGATGTTTCGTTTTCCTCATATCGAAGATGTTCCCGTGCTCGAGTCGTCCGGGCGAGAGCTGGTGAGGTACTGTAGGTCCTGCCGAAACGAGGGAGTTCTGCTTTTCTGGATTTCTTCTCTGCTAGGAGTGGCAGACGAATTCATGATGAAACTGGCAGTGTAGGAGAGTCGTGGGTTGTAGACGGGGTGCTCCTGGAGGGGGGGGGGGATCTCTTCTTGTTTTACTGAGCCGGAGCCCCTGCCTTGCCCAGATCAGAACCATCTCTCTGTCTCCCCCTGCAGGTGAAGACGGAGATCAGCGTGGAGAGCAAGCACCAGACCCTGCAGGGCCTGGCCTTCCCCCTGCAGAAGGAGGCCCAGCAGGCCCTGCTGCAGCTCCGCCAGAGGAAGATCAACTACGTCCAGCTGGTGAGAAGCCGAGCTGCCACTTGCTGCCACAGGGGGGCGCTAATGTGCACGAAGAGCCGCTGCGCCTGTGAAGATTTCTAACGCACGAGGGTGTTTGGTGTGCGTGCCGCCTGCGTGTGCGCTGGGCCAGTGTGCGTGCGTGCGTGCCCACGTGTGTAACTCGCCCCTCTCTCCCAGCGGCTGGACACGGAGAGGGAGACAATCGAGCTGGTCCACACCAACCCCACGGAGATCGGGGAGCTGCCGCGCCGTATCCCCAAGGACACGCCTCGCTACCACTTCTTCCTGTACCGACACTCCCATGAGGGAGACCACCTGGAGTCTGTGGGTGAGGATCCCTGCTCCCCCTGCTCTCCGTCTGTGTGATCGGCTCCCTCCTCTCCCTCTTCTTCAGTTCCTCCTTCTCTCTAACACCCCCTCTCGTGGTCCACATTCCTCCTAGCCCCTCCCTTCTTCTCTCTAGCCCCTCCCACCTCCTCTAGCCCCTTCCTCCTGTGATCTGCCTTCCTCCTAGCCACTCCCACCCATCTCTAGCCACTCCCACCTACTCTGTAGCCCCTCCCTTAAGTGACAAGCCTTCCTCCTAGCCCCTCCCCCTGTGGCCTGCCTGCCTCCTAGCCCCTCCCTCCTTCCACTCTCCCCTCCCTGCTCCTCCTCCCTCCGCCCGGCCACTCACCAGCCCTGCCCGCCCCTCCTGTCTCTCTGCAGTCTTCATCTACTCCATGCCCGGCTACAGCTGCAGCATCAAGGAGCGGATGCTGTACTCCAGCTGCAAGAGCCGCCTGCTGGACGAGGTGGAGCAGGACCTTCAGCTGGAGATCGCCAAAAAGGTAACCGCGGCAACCGCCTCCCCCGTCACCAGGGCACCGCCTCCCGGCGCGGGAGGGGGGGGGGACCCCAGTGTGTGACTGTCCTCTGTCTGCCCCCCCTCCCAGATGGAGATCGACAGCGGGGAGGAGCTGACGGCGGACTTCCTGTACGAGGAGGTGCACCCCAAGCAGCACGCCTTCAAGCAGGCCTTCGCCAAGCCGCGCGGCCCGGCGGGGAAGAGGGGGATGAAGCGCCTCATCAGGGGCCCCGGGGAGAACGGGGAGGACAGCTAGAGGGGGGCGGGGGTCGGACTGTTTCCACGGCAGCCAAGCCGGGGGCACCCTCCCCCCCCCAGTGCTCGTCTGCGTCCTGTTTCTGCTTGGCTCTCTCTGTCTCTCGCTCTTGCTCGCTCGCCCTGCGCCCGGCCCCCCGCCTGTCCCTCTCGCGGCCCGCTGCTCTCAGGAGGACGGAGAAGGGAAACGCGCCCCCCTTTTCCTGCGCCCCTCTCCCGTGCCTCCTGTGCCGGCGCCCTTCTCCCCCGGCCCGGTTTCCGCGGCGAGGTCCTGTGCCGCCCCCGGACACCCCCCCGAGCCGCGGGAGAGAGCGCCTGTCCGTGGGTCGCGCCCGAGTCTGGCGGAGCGGTGCTCTCGGCGGCTCCCTGCACCCCTGCGCCCCTCTTTCCACAGCAGCGCGCCCACACACCAGAGCTTGCGTTTTAGGGCCGGAGGGTTGAGTCTTGGCTGTGGCTGATCGTCTGGGGCGGCGCCGGTCTTCGTCTTCGTCAGGCGCTTCTGAGCGGCTCGTGCGACAGTCCTGTGCTCTCGGCCGAGGCCACACTGCTGCGCGCGGTCCAGCTCCTGGGGGGATCTGGGGGCTCACTGGGGCCGTTAATCCAAGGCAGGGGTACACTCTTCCTGGAGGAGCTCTCGGTTCTCCTTGTGGAACACTGCTTCCAGAAAGATTCTGCTTCTGTTGATCAACTTTTTTTTTTTTAAACGCGTTTTTGTTTTAGGGTGATTTTTTTTTTATTATTATTATTATTCTTTTGTGTCTAGTCCAGCTGCTGTTAACTGACCCTGCTACTCCCGCCAGTGGGAATTTCAGGACACCGGAGACGGGGGGAGGGCAGTTCTGTGGCATCAGCTCAATGAGGGATATTGCAGTTATTAGATCTTCACTTTATGAAAGGGAAATGAATCATCTTTAAAATGTGACACCGGGGTCTCCGCGCTCCAGGGTTGGTGGGCAGGTCTTGGATCTGTTCAGATCCACCTTCTGTGTGGCGTTTGCATGGCTGTAGCCTCCAGTTTCTTCCCACCTCTGGGAGATGTGCTGGCTCAGGCAGAGGGCTCCTCGGTCTGCAGGTTCCGCTGGGATGGGCTCTGGAGTCCTGTACCTTCTTCTGGGAAGACACCGATTCCTGGTGTGTGGGTTCTGGAGACCTCAGAGCTAGACTGCATTCACAAATTTTGTTTTTAGTTGTTTTTTTTTTCCTCTGCCAATTTCCAAGCATCTTGATGAAAGGTTTCCTGTTTTTTTTTTTTTGAAAGTCATTGTTTCACAATCGGGGTCTTTCAAACGAAATGCAACTCGCTGTGAACTGTGGTTTTTTAAAAAAACGGGGAATTGGGAGTAGTTGAAATTATTGCACCATCGTGTTTCTCAAGGCTCCCCGCTGCAGCCTC